GTATAGTCATCTCTTATGCTGTCTAATGAAGGTATTTGAAATGAACAAATCATTGATTTTGCAGAATTCTATCATGCATTCTCCAGCATCATTTCTATCATCAAGGCCATATTTTCCAACTACTGATCCTTCCTCTTTGCTCCCAACCTTTGCATTCCAATCACCGGTAATGATCAATAATGCATTTTGATTGCATGTTTGATCAATTTCAGATTGAAGAAGTTGGTAGAATTTTTCTATTTCATCCTCACTGGCTTTAGCGGTTGGTACGTAAATTTGAATAATAGTGGTATTAACTGGGCTTCCCTGTAGGAGCATAGATATTATCCTATCACAGATAGTGTTGTACCTCATGACTGATATGTATATGTATATATTGTTGTTTGTTGTTAAGTGCCGTCAAGTTGATTCTGACTCCAAGGAGCAGCTGGTAAGTTTGAGCTGCTGACATTATATTTTGTAGTACAATGCTGATCCTTCAATGCCACACCATTAGTATATATATATTTATATCCCGAAGATATGTAAAAGTTTGAAAGAGGATATTGGTACATGAGTACCTTTCCTGAAAACACAACAGGAAAAGTGATGAAAACCTCTTAGATATTAGCAAACATCTTAAGGCAAAGAGTAATTGGCTCAGGAGTATAGGCTCAGGGGACACCATGGTCTATTAGCATAGCATAGTTCACAAAGACAATGTTCTGCACCCTACTTTGGTGAGTAGCCTCTGGGATATCAAAAACTCATGAATGGCTATATAAGGTACAGCTATTGGTCTCTCCATGTGCAGAAGAAAGAAGAGTGATGAGAATTGAAGATTCTTGGAATCAGTGAGTCCCATGAACTAATGTGAACATCAGTCTCCATGACTCTGAGACCAGAAGAACTAGATGGTGCCCAGCTACCACTTCCCACCACTCTCAAAGAAATCACATTAAAAAGTACCGGATATAGTGGCAGAATATGTGGAACAAAACACAAAATTATTTTTAAAAAAGGCCAGGCTTACTGGTCATAAAGACTGGAGGAATCGGAGACTGTGGCCCTTGACCACCCTTCAGGTCTGGAAAGGAACTTACTTTCATGGACCAGCTTTCAGCCAAGCAACAGATAGGTATATGTATATAGTGGGGACAACAACTCTACTAAGGTATACTCACTGTGAATGATGGAGCAGTCACTCATTCAAAATCAAACAGGCAACATGTACGTAAGGACAAAGTTGAGAAGGATGGGACAATGGGCAAAATGGAAATAGGAATGACAGGGAAGAAGCAGGATTACTGCTGTTGCATGAAGGGGATTGCAATCATTGAGATGAAACAAAGTGTATGATTTGTTGAATGTAAAATGGATCATCTTGTCTGTAAACCTCTATTCAATTTACAATAAAAAGTTAAAAAAAAGAATCGATAGCGTTGAAGGAAGATGTCCAAACTACACTGAAGGCATTAATGAAAAACAAGCTTTCAGGAGTGATGGAATACAAAGAGAAGTTTCAGCAAATGATTGAAGCACTCACGAATCACTCATCATCTGGTCCTGCATCTGGATTGGAAGAAGGCTCATTAACAACTTGTGATATGCAGATAACAAAACTTTGCTTGCTGAAAGCAAAGAGGACTTGAAGCACTTACTGGAGAAAATTACCACATTCAGTATTGAGTTCAGTATAGAACTCAAAGAAAATAAAAAATTCTCACAACTGGACCAATAAATAACATTATGATAAATGGATAAAATATTGAAGTTGCCAAGGATTTCAGTTTCCTTGGGCCCACAATCAGTGCTAATGGAAGCAGCAGTCAGGAAATCAAAGGACATACTATATTGGGCACATCTGCTGCAAAAGACCTTTAAAGTGTTAAAGAGCAAAGATGTCACTGAGAACTAAGGTGCCTGACCCAAACCATGATATTTTCAGTCATCTCATATACATGTGAAAGCTGGACAATGAATAAGGAACACTGGACAAGAACTGATACATTTGAATTTATGGTGTTGGTGAAGAACATTGAAAGTACTACAGACTGCCAAAAGAACAAACATCTGTCTTGGAAGAAGCACAACCAGAATGCTCATTAGAAATATTGCGTCTCTCTACCTTGGAAATGTTATCAGGAGGTACCAGTCCCTGGAGAAGAACATCATACTTGGTAAAGTAGAGGGTCAGCAAAAAGAGGAAGACCCCCAACAAGATGGATTGACACAGTGGCTTCCATATTGGATTTAGACATAACAACAATTGTGAGGATGGCTCAGGACCCAATAGAGTTTTGTTGTGTTGTGCTCAGGGTTGCTATGAGTTGGAGTTGACTTGACACCCTTAACAACACCTCTACCATCACAAACTATACTGTTCAAGGAAGAAGGGTGGAATAAATAAATGGTCACTGGTGCAAAAGCTGCCCTTGCCCTTCTATCTGGAACACCCCACTTTGAGTGTTGTTATAGGATAAGCATTGAATTTCTGACCACAAGGTTGACAGTTCAAACCTACCAGCTACTCCTCAGAAATCCTATACAGAACTAACTCAATGGCACTTAACAGCAACAGCGCCCATGCTCTAAGAAGGAGGCATAGGTATCCCCTCTTTCTGAATGCTCATTCTGATGCCACTTCCCCTCCCTCAAACTTGGGTCAAGCGTCTCTGCTGTGTTTTAACAGGCCCTGTGCTTCTTCCCACCTTCCTCCCAGCTCTTTGTGCTCAGTATTGGAATTGCCTATATACACATCTGACTGTCCCATTCAACTGTGACCTCCTTGAGGGCAGGCAGCTACTGTGCCCTCTTTGTCACTGATGTCTCCCTAGGGTCTGGTGCAGCGTGAGGGTCCAGCAAATACTTGTTGAGTATCTAGGTGCTGGTGGGAGAGCAGAGTGCAGTTTCTGGAGTCATCAGAGTAGGCTTCCTGGAAGAGGGTTGATGGGAATAGGATGCACACAAGCAGGCATCTGTTTGTGTCTGAGTCTGTGCCCAGCCCTGGGCCAGTCACAGTCCAGAGGCTCTGTTACCCCATCTCACAGCTGCCTGTCTCTTTCTCTGACAGATAAGCTCTTCTATATCTACACATCAGGCACCACTGGGCTGCCAAAAGCTGCCATTGTGGTACATAGCAGGTAAGGACCAGGAACCTGGGATGGGTAGGTAGGCCTGTGAGCCTATCCTCCTGCTTTTCAAGGGGCCCACTGAGTCCTTCCACTCTCTCCCCTTCCAGGTATTACCGAATGGCTGCCCTGGTGTACTATGGATTCCGCATGCGGCCGGATGACATCGTCTATGATTGTCTACCCCTCTATCACTCAGCAGGTAATCCTGGTCCAACCCCCTCAACCTCCAGCACCAGTCCTAAGTCCTCCACTGTCAGCATGTTGTAGTGAAAACGTATGAGCTTAAGGCTTAGGGCTTAGGGTCATATATGAGTTCAAATGCAGCACTACCGTTGATTCCACGTTGTCTCATGATCTGTTAAATAAGATGGCCAGGCAGCTTCAGGGTGTATGTGGCAGTGTCCCACCGGGTGCCTGGCAGGCAGGTCTGATGGTTTTCCTTCCACAGATGTGCACAGCACTGCTACTTGTCTCAGGGACTTGGAGGCAGAGCTAGATACAGATTGAGTAGATAGAGTTCCTGTCCTTGAAGGTGCTTCGAGTCAGGTGTGTGAGTTTGGGGCAGGATGCATGATGGGAACCCACCTAACTCTAATACATGCAATGGTATGGTGAGTGTCGAGGATGGCAGGGAGCAGGGGCTCAGTACAAAGGAAGAGCCCAGTGGTGGGGGCCCTGGAAAGTCCTCGAGGAGGAGCCCCTAGACACATGTGTGGTCGGTCCTCTTGATTGAATGGCAGCGTTGTGGGTAGGGGAGTAGGGGTTTAGGGCCATCTGGAGACCTGGGAGAGAATCTGATGAGTGTGCCCTGGATACCCATTGGCTCTAAGGATCAGGGGAGAGTTGTGATCAGTTTAAGTAGAGAGAAAAGGGAGCGACCAGGAGAAGGGGCCTGTTTGGAGGCAGGTATGGCTAAAAGGAGGTTCTGGAGGGAAAGGTGTCCTGTCTCCCTGACCTCTGGGGTTTACCCTGTGCCTTCAGGAAACATTGTGGGAATTGGACAATGCTTGCTCCATGGCATGACAGTGGTGATCCGGAAGAAGTTCTCGGCCTCACGGTTCTGGGACGATTGTGTCAAGTACAACTGTACAGTGAGTGAAAGGGAGGAAAATGAGCTGTCCCTGTCCCCTTGTTGCCCTCCCACTACCCCACTTTGGGGACACCTGTCTTACAGCTGAGGTGTCATTCAGATAAGGGTCACCCATGCATTCAGGGCCTTCGTCTTGTCCAGATGAGGAGACTGAAGACCATGGAGGGAAAGCTAGCCCTTGGGGAAAAGGCCTAGTCGGGGTACAGGCTTGGCGATTGGGAGGTGGTGAACTCAGGGGACTGGAATCACACCAAGACCACCCCCAGATTGTGCAGTACATTGGCGAGCTGTGCCGCTACCTCCTCAACCAGCCACCCCGGGAGGCAGAAAACAAGCACCAGGTGCGCATGGCGATAGGCAATGGCCTCCGGCAATCCATCTGGACCAGCTTTTCCAGTCGCTTTCATATCCCCCAGGTGGCCGAGTTCTATGGGGCCACTGAGTGCAACTGCAGCTTGGGCAACTTCGACAGCCAGGTGCGGCCCAGGTTGGGGATACACCATGGAAAGCACTGGGAGGACAGAGGGAAGGACAGAGTTCTAGCATGGGATGGTGCGGCCAGAGCACTCTTCCCTGAGTCAGACCCACATCTTGACCTTCGCAGGTGGGGGCCTGTGGCTTTAACAGCCGCATCCTCTCCTTCGTGTACCCCATCCGGCTGGTACGTGTCAATGAGGATACTATGGAGCTGATACGGGGGCCTGATGGCGTTTGCATTTCCTGCCAACCAGGTCTGCCTAGGGTTAAAGTTGGGGGCTGGTGGGGGAGGGATTGGCCTAGGAGGGAGGTGGGACAACTGTGGGTGGCGGGGGAGCCCTGCTGCAACCAGTGACCATCAGTTCTGGCCATCAGTCACCTCTTCACTTAGGGCTACAAGTCATTCATTTTTCATTCATTCATTCATTCATTCATTCATTCATTCACTGTCCTATCTATCTACCAGTCCATTCATTTATTTTCATGTTGGCTTGAGAGGACTCTGGGCCACCTAGCATGATCCTGGCTCAGACACTTAGCTCTGTTATATGGGCAAGTCATTCATGGGTACCATAATAGCACTCCTTTATCAGGTCAGCTTGAGGGTTAAGCATGGTAAAAATGTAGCAGAAAGTTCTCTTTGCAGAGCCAGGCACGATGGAGGACCCAGTAAGTGCTGACTTTGTGTTAGACTGTTCATATAGAGTTGGCCGTCCATTTGCTTCCTTGTGTGTGTGTCAGAAATGCCAAAGTCCGCTTGCTGCCCTCAGGCATTCCTAGGCTAGGGGAGAAATGGGGTGTTTTCATGGAAAAGCAGTGTGACTAGGAGTGAGTTCATAGCACAGTGTGCATTGGGGGGCGGAAAGAACAGATGGATCTGAGTCCACTCTCCCAACCCCCAGGTGAGCCAGGCCAGCTGGTGGGCCGCATTATCCAGAAGGACCCCTTGCGCCGCTTTGACGGCTACCTCAACCAGGGTGCCAACAACAAGAAGATCGCCAAGGATGTCTTCAAGAAGGGGGACCAGGCCTACCTCACTGGTGGGTATGCTGTCTCCCCAGCCCGGGGTAGGAAGGAATGAGGGGACCTTCTCTACCTCCGAGAACACCTCTTCAGGACTCCCCTAGGGCCAGCCCTTATGTTGAGACCCAGTCGGGAGAGCCTGGGTTAGACCTCTGTGTGCAGAGCAGGGACAGGCCCAAGCCCTGCCTCTCACAACTCCCCACTAGGCGATGTGCTGGTGATGGACGAGCTGGGCTACCTGTACTTCCGAGACCGCACTGGGGACACATTCCGCTGGAAGGGGGAGAACGTGTCCACCACCGAGGTGGAAGGCATACTCAGCCGTCTGCTGGACATGGCTGATGTGGCAGTGTATGGCGTTGAGGTGCCAGGTACGTGTAGGGAGGTTGGGGGCACATGTGGCCAGGCCTCCAATCCCATGAGCCTCTCACTGTCTACCTTACTGCCCCCCAGGAACTGAGGGCCGAGCTGGCATGGCTGCTGTGGCCAAACCCACTGATACCTGTGACCTGGAACACTTTGCGAAGGTCCTGGAAAAGGAGCTGCCCCTATATGCCCGCCCCATTTTCCTGCGATTCCTGCATGAGCTACACAAGACAGGTCTGTCCCCAACCCTACTCAACTTCCAGGCTCCAGATCTAGGTCCCTTCTGGTTTCCTTCTTAAGAGGCCTAGGTAGCCATCATTTGACCACCAGCCATAGCTTTGCCAAGGAGTTGATCAGATGAGAGCCTGAACCTTAGAGAGCGAGGTTCACCTGTTCAATAATTACAAAACTTCTGACTCATAGGAACTCTGGAGGGCAGAGTAGAACTGCTCCCTAGGATTTCCAAGATGGTAAATCTTTATAGGAGCAGGCAGCCTCATCCTAAACCTTGGGTTGGCCTAATGCTTAGCCCACTGTGCTACTAGGACTCCTTGTTGTTATGTGCCATCTAGTTCGTTCCGACTCATAGTGACCCTATATAGGGTTTTCAAGGAGCTGGTGAGTTTGAACTGCCAACCTTATGGTTAGTAGTCCAGTGCTTATCCTATAATGCTACACTAGGACTACTTAGTGGGACATATATTTCTTGAATACCTACAATATGTCAGGCAACATGCTAAGCCTTAGGGATAAAGGTAAAACTTCTAGCAGAACCTTTGCTTTCTTAGAACTTCTAGAACAGTGAGGAAGGAAGCCATAGGGCAAGGAGTTCCAAAGATGATGATTGGAATACAGAAAATTGGGTTGTCAGAAAACTGAATGATAGGGGTTTGGCCTACTGCTGGAATGGCTGAGAGGCTCCCATGAGGAGTGACATTTAAACTGAGACTTGAATGAAAGGGAAGATTTTAGGGGAGTGGGAGGTTTTCCCACTGTGGGAACAGCAAGTATGAAGTTCTCAAGGCGAGAAGGAATGAAAGGAAACCCTGAAGGCTGGAGTAGTGGAGTGGAGTGAGATGGGACAGAGAGACTAGCAGGGACCAGAACCCAGGGTCTTGTGGGCCAGTGTGGGGATTTGGAATACCCCATGGGCAGTAGGGAGCTACCAAAAAGTTTGTGTAGGGTAGTATCCTGGTCAGATGTGTGTTCTGCAAAGCTCTCTGGCTGCTGTGGAGGCTTGCAGAGGGCTATAGGCAGGGAGATGAATGAGGGGCTGCCACAGTAGCCGTGGTATAAGCCGAGTGGTGTGGCCACTGTCAGCCAGCAGAGCAGTTCCATCCTCCCAGCTCTGGCCTCCTGAAGCTCAGTTCTTTGGTGGGCAGGACGTGCTGAAGCTGGTACCCAGACCTTCCTCTACTCTCCTCAGTCCTGGCCTAGCCTTCCCATTGTAGATTGTAGCGCTGGATGGGGTCACTGGTGCTGAACTGCAATCTCCCCCAGGATTGAACAATGGTGACTTCTCTCTATTCTAGGGGTACTATCAGTCCTAGGGTTTAAGATTCATCTTGCTGTAGAACAGACCACCCCAAAACTTACTGCTCTAAACAGTCACTTTCCTTCCTCATGATTCTCTGGTCCAATGATTTTGAGGCTAAGTTCAGCCTTCATCCCACTTAGGGGTGTCTGCTAGCTGGGGAGAGCAACCGTTCTTAGCAGTCAACTGGTGACTCATCTGGAGCTGAGTGGTCAAAGATGGCCTCAGCTCAGCGGGTAGATTGTACGTTGCTTTTTGGCGAAACGTTCTGTGGTGATGAAAATGTTCTGTATCTGATCTGTCCAACGTGGTAGCTTACTGCTAGGCCTGCATGCCTCTTAAGCACTTGAAATGTGAGCAGTGTAATGGGGGAATTGAATTAAAAATTTTGTTTCATTCAATTGAATTTGAATTTTAAAACTTCCAAGTGACTCACTGTTGCTTCTCCTGCCCTTTCCAGAATTTTTCTGTGAAAGTTTCATGTCCATGTTATGCCTACCGTATGGCCAGTGGCTATCATTTGGACAGTGACAGTCTAGCAGGTCTTAGCTGGAGTGACTCATCTCTGATTCATATGGCTTCTCATCTTCAAAAAGCTGATGCACTCTTCTCCGGGCACCCCCGAGAAGGTGGGGCAGAAGCTTCAAAACTCTTTGAGGCCTAGACTCATTCAGAACCCCCACAACATTTATTTCTGCCACATTCTATTGGCACAAGAAAGTTATAAGGCCAGTTCAAAGTCAAGTGAGGGTGGTGGTAGTTGTTATATGCTGTTAAGTTGGTTCCAACTCATAGCGACTCTTTATAGGGTTTCTGAGGTGCGGCTGGTGGGTTTGAACCGCTAACCTTGTGGTTAGCAGTCCAGTACTTATTCTACAGTACCACACCAGGATTCTTGTTGTTAAGTACCGTCGAGTCGGTTCTGACCCATAGCGACCCTGTATAGGGTTTCCGAGGAGCAGCTGGGGAGCTTGAACCACCAACCTTGCAGTTCAAACCGATGTCGCAGTCCAGTGCATTAATCCACAGCACCACACCAGGGTTAAAACATATAAAATACAGCTGAGCACCACCCTCGAGAGATTAATGTACGAATTAGATGAGACCATACCTGTACACTGTAGGCACTCACATAAAAGGAACCATCACAGTTATAAGACCCAAGTTCTGCTTCCTGCTCAGTGAGCAAGTGGTTTCCCTTCTTCAGTCCTCAGTTTCTCCATCTGCAAAATTGAGGTAGTGGTGACACAGTCTGGCCTGTCCCCTGCCCTGCTTAATAGGGTTACTCGTAGAAGCAGCACATAATGTAACAGATGGCGCATTCATGTGTGTGTGAAAATTAGCACAGTGGAACACGTACCAATTCAATACATTCTACATGTACACTTGTTACAACAATCACATTCTCCAAGTTTTGCAGTTATTGTCATTATCATTTTCACATAATTGTACCACTATTAGATAAGCTCACTGTTCCCTCAGCATCTCACCTGACCTTGTGAACTGTTTGTTATTGTCCGTTTGATCCCATATACATTGCACTTTAAGGGAGCACAATGCTTAAGCCAGACATCCGTCCTTTACTTATTAAGCTGAGGTGTGGCGCTGTGGGATCAGCACTGAACTGCGAACAACGAAGTCGATGGTTCAAACCCACCAACTGCTCCTGGGAAATCCTGTACAGTGTCGCTATGAGTTGGAACCAACTCAAGGGCACTTAACAACGATTTATTTAAAGCGATTTCAGGGGATATTTTCAAGTTAAAATTGAAAGATTATCTCAGGTCAAGCACTTCAAGGCATCCTTAGGTGGACTATGCCCCCTAATCCCTCCCTTCCCCTTTTTCTGCTTTCTTTCCAACCCTTCTTCCTTCTTATTCCTCCTCAGCACTGGAGGTTGGGATCTTGGGAGTTTGAGTCTCTGCCCTGCACCATCTGATTTTCTTCTCTCTTGTCTCCCCTACTCCCCCAGGGACCTACAAGTTCCAGAAGGCAGAGCTGCGGAAGGAGGGCTTTGACCCAGCTGTTGTGAAAGACCCACTGTTCTATCTGGACAGCCGGAAAGGCCGCTACATCCCGCTGGACCAAGAAGCCTACACCCGCATCCAGGCAGGCGAGGAGAAGCTGTGATTTGCCCGTGTCCCTCTGTGGGCCAGTGGATGCTGGATTCAGAGCCCCAGCTCCCACCCAGAGGGGTCCTGGGTGATGCCAGACCAAAGCAAGCAGGGTCTAGCACCTCCACCCCCGAGGTGCTGATCCCCTCCCTTAAAAACTGCCAAGTGACTCACTGCCACCTCCCCCACTCCCGCCAGAGGTTTTCTGTGAAAGCCTCAGGTCTGTGTTATGTCTCCAAGGCTGGGAGGTCCTCCGGGCCCCAGGCTGAGACTGACTGGGCTCCCTCAGGATGATGTCTTGGGTTAGGGCAGAGAGAGGTGGAGGGGTCACCAGGCTCTCCCCAGCTAGCAGACACCCCTAATTGGGACCAAGGCAGAAGCTGCCAGACTCAGGAAGCCAGCAGAGTAGATGGGAGCAGCAGTGGTCCAGCTGGTCAGGTGGCCAAAGAGCCCCAAGTGTCACTCAGCCCTGACAGAGCCTTCAGGAGAGTAGGAGGAGGAGCTGGCATGGCCCCAACTGCCCTGTCCGTGGCCTGAGACCTGGACAGAGCATCCCTTCTCTCCTCCTCTCATCTTCCTCTCGGGTCGCTGCCTGGCTGTCCCTCAGACAGGGCTTTTCTGTCTTTGTGGGTCTGCCCATGTCACCGTCTCCATCTCAGTCCTGGCCTGGCTCTGAGAGGAGGAGGAACAGGGTGGGAGGCTCAGGGGCCAATAAACTCTGCCTTGACTCCCCCTAGGCTGTGTGCATGCCACCTGAGCTCACTCCACCCCCAGCCTGTTTTCAGGCTCTACTGGGCCTCTCCCTCCTGACCTATCTACCCACTCATCCATTCATCCACTTAAACCCTAAGATTCTGGCATGGAGTATGTTACCGCCCTTGTCCTCAGTCTCATGTCTCTGACAGACAGTTCCCATCTGAGTCTGGTCAGGTGATCAACAGTGTTGGACTTGAAAGTCCAGAATCACCTCTTGCTGATAAGTTTGTGGCCTTGAGCAAATGACTCAGTTTCCTCAACTGTGAAATGGAAGGAATCACTTAAGCGCCTTCAGAGAACTAAAGGACCCATTTAGCTCCATTATGGTGAAGGCACTGTTAAGAGTCTTTGAAGGGAAAACCCTAACTTAGGGCAGGGTCCCACCTCCAGACCCTTGCTCATGCTCTTCACTTCGTTTGGGGTCCATGTCCCTAGTTACTTAGGTGCTAGAGAAGTTAGCCCAGGGGGCTGTGAGAGCCAGAGCAGGCTGCCTAAGCAGGCCCATGCAAAGTCCAGAAGTTTCTGGAGGAGAGTGTTTACCAAGCCACACTGTCAGCAGTGCCACTGAGAGCCCCTTGACATCCAGTGGAGAAACTCACAGCTTAATGGGAAAGAGCCACCCAACCCATGACAGAGGGCACACCCGGTGCTTTAGCTTCACTGTTTAGCCCTTAACCACAAGTCTATGAGGGGGGTATTACAAATGGGCTTTTCTAGGAAAGAACCAGAATGTGAAGATTTTGAGTCACTTGGTCCAGGTCACACAGCAAATGCTGGGGTTGCAATACAAGCTCCAGCCTGGCTCCAGGGGTCCAGCTGCCCTTCTGCTGGCCACACGCTAGGTCAGCCGGTGGTTCAGATGGAAGGTGTCCAGGCAGAGAAATCTGGAGTGCCTCGAAGTGGAAGTGACCTTTGAAAGAGGAATCTGGTCCTCTCAGATGAGGGAAAAGGGGAAGCAGAGCTGGAGTGAGATGCTAAAAGGGAGTTGGGAGAAAGCATGATTAAATGCAGTGCCCTAATATTACCAGCAGAGGGCGCGCAGAGCTTGGAAAATCCAGTCCTAGCCCTTTGAGCCTTGCCCAGGATTGCAAGAAGGGGCTAGGAGCCTCCACCCTCACCTTCAAGCAGGTACCCAACCCAGAGGGCCCCATGGCAGACCTCTGAAAACTTTTGGTCAGGCTTTTAAGGGTCTGGGCTTGGTTGACAGTGTGGCTGTCTTTAAACATCAGTAGTGAGTTCTCTTCGATGAGAAGAAGCCTCTGAGGGGACCCTGTACCTTCTCAAAGTTGAACTCAGTTACCAAAAAGCTGTATGGAGTTAGTAGTTAAGAGTTTCAGCTCTGGAGTCTGGCCTATAGTCAAATCCCAGGTCTACCATTTGAGAGTCAGCTTCAGTTTCCTCTCCTGTACATGGAGGTCAAGGACTCCCAAGCTTGTGTACTTGTGAAAATGAGACGATAATACATAGAAGTAAGTCTCTTAGCTCTGAGCCTGGTGCTGATCTCTGCTCACTACATGCAAGATAAAAGAAGAAAAAGAGAGATGTTCAGGGTTAAGACATTAAAGGAAGAAAGAAACCCTCCACTGCCATCAAGTGTATTCTGGATCAGAGCAACCCTAAACAGGGTCTCCAAGGTGTAAATCTTTACAGGAGCAGACAGCCTCACCTTTATCCCAAGGAGCAGCTGGTGGTTTTGAACTGCTGACCTTGTGGTTAGCAGCCTAACACCTGACCCTTAGCACAACCAGGACATCAGAGTATGCCTAAAATTTCCACTTCCACACAGGACCTTCTCCCACCCATAATGAGGGTAGGAGGCACTAGCCCTTGAAGCTCTTAGGTTAGACTGGCCCTTCTGGCTGTGGGTGTCGTCTCCATGCACAAAGAAAGTACTTCACAGTGTGAATGAAGCAGCAGGAATGTAGTGACATCTAGTCGATTCCGACACAGAGACCATGTATAGGATTTTCAAGGAGCAGCTAGTGGGTTTGAATTGCCGACCTTGGGGTTAGCAGTCCAGTGCTTATTGTACAGCACCACACCAGAATTTATTGGGAGGTTCTCGCCACATCTATTTAGAGCTGGTTAACATAGCACCTTGTAAGCTCATCTGTTGAAGGGACAGTAAAGGTCTATTGTGTGGGAGTAGGAAGGTAGGGGGAGCAGGATAGACACCCAGCTTCTGATTTGCCCTCTGGGAGCCCATCCTCAGCAGGGGGGCAGGAGACTGAGAGGAAAAAGCCTGATTAGGAGCCCTGTTAGCACAGTAATTAACCACTTTGCTTGAACCCACCAACTGCTCTGAAGGAGAAAGATGTGGCTGTCTGCTTCCTTAAAGATTGTTGTTAGTGACCCTGTATAGGGTTTCCCAGGAGAGCCTTGGAAACCTTATGGGGCAGTTCTTCAATCCTGTTCCTGTGGGGTCCTTATGAGTCAAAATCAAATTGCTAAAAGTCAAGAAGGATTTTCAGGGAAGAGTTATCCAAGAACAGAAGGGGGAGATCTCCAGAGCAGCAAAATGTAAGAACCTGGAGGCGAAGGGCCAGCTGGGCAGATCCGGTGCTGTGAGGCTGCAGGGTTAGTGGGAGAAGGGAACAGAGTTGAGGTAAACAGGAAAAATTAATCCTCTGGGTACTTCTGCTTGGATACCTCCAGGGCACACCATTAGGAAATCCTTCTAGCCAGATCCTTCAATCCATAACCCACTTCTTGAGCTCTTGCTAATGGTCACTATGTTTGAGCACTTACCATGTGCACAGAGCTCTATGGGTAGGATTAACCTCTGTCCAGAACACTTAGTAGGTCCCGTTTATATCCCCCATTAGACAGATGAGGAATCTGAAGCTTAGAGAGCCATAGCCTCCCCAAAGACCACAAAACCTGTGAATGGCAGAACTGGTTTTTTTTAAAAAAACTACCCTCCCTGAGCCTCGGTATTCTTATTCTTATCTGCAACTTGTCTGCTTCACCCGGGGAGGCCGAAGGGGCTCGCCAGGAGCGACCCCGGAGGTCCATCCCGCCCTCAGAACAGGCAAGTGGCCAAGTGGCCGCCCAGGCCAGTGCTTGGCGTATCACTTTCAACTCCTGGGAAGGAGGTTAAATACCTCTGAGGGGCCCAGAGAGACGGCAGCAGCAAGGGAGGGGGTAACCCAGTGACTTTCAAAGGGGCCTGAGGAGGGGGCCCTGCTTCCTCTGAGCCTAATGATATTCTGGACTCAGCCCTAGTCTTTGGCGGCAGTTTAACCCGAGCCGGGGCGGATTTCTTTCTCACTGATCTCAGCTTGACACCCAATTAGCACAAGAATGGGAGGAGGAAGCCTGTGAGAGGCGCCTCCCAGCCTCCCGGGGCGCGAGAGGGTAGCAGGCAGACAGACAAAGGGCTGCGGGCAGGGGGGCACCCGCGCCTTTGCCTCCCCTGGTATCCCTGCAGACCCCGCCATTGTCTCCCTAGGAGCTTCAGAAGGGATGGCGGCCAACGTCCAGTCTGGCCAGCCTATTGGAGAGGACAAGAAATGGGGCCCAAGTGGATCTGAGGAAAAGGCATTTTGGGTGAACCTAGCCCAACTAGAAGCAATGAGGGTCAGTAAGGTGGGACTGGGATCCTGGAGGCACAACCACCTGGAATGGAAGCCTGACACTTAGGGGTTGCTGGGCATATCCCAAGTTCTGAGCCTATGTTCTCATCTGAAAAATGGGAATGATAATAGTCCCCACCTCCCCACCGCACTGAGTAGTTGTGAGGAATCAATTAGATATGCATGTATAGCACCTGGCAGATATGAAGTGGGCATTCAATAAATACTCAATGAACATAATATGTTAAGAATTATTGTTAATTAAAGGACTGGATAGAGTAGGCTTGGAGTTAAGGAGAAGGAAGGATTTTACAAGAGAGCTGGACATCCCCAGAACAGGTGAGTTCCTAGTCTCTGGAGATATGCAATGAGAAGCTTGGGGACCACCTGCTTATATAGATGTGCCTTCTCCATCCTTACCTCTCCTTCCCACTATCCCCTGTGAACTTTGGCTTACATGTTACTCCTTTAGGAAGACTTCCCTAATTTCAGGCCTGGAGAAGGGGCTCACAGGCCCTGTGCATCCCTTTCATAGCATGAGTAGTGCTCTCTGGTCCATTTCTCCATGGCTTCTCCTAGAACATCAGCTTAGGAGGACTGGGACCCATTGATCTTGTTCGTCTTGTTCCCAGCATCAACACTGGGCCTGGCACTTAACAGGAGCTCAGTGAATGTTTGTCAAATGGATTAAGTTTTTCCAAATCCTCCCTAGATCTCCCTTCTGTTCTGGAAAGTGGTGGTTCCCAGGGTCAGGAGAGATTGAGCTTACTTTGGGGTGAGATCAGGCTGTAAAGGGCGCTGAATGCCTTCTAGGTAGATAGATTCTTATCTTGTTGGCAAAGAGAGGCCATTGAATGGCTGTGAGCACCAGAATGATGCTTGTTCATCCATTCACTTCACTCATTTGCTTATTCAGCAAACATTGATTAAACCTCCCAATGGGCAAAGGATCAAAGATGAATCAGACAAGGTTTCTGCCTGTGAGGAGCTAGAAGCCAATGGAAGAATCTTAGAATATTTTTGCCGAATGGACCTTAAGAAACTATTTGGTCCCAAACAATTTTTACAGGTTGGAGAAACTGAGTTCCAGAAGGGGAAATGACTTAGCCACAAAGCACAGAGAATGTGGGGCCTTTCTGTTTTACCCCAGGATTCCTTTGGGCTTTTTGAGGACCAGGAATAGGTCTATTCTGGTTTTGTTTTGCCAGTGCCCTGGAACAGTGCCTGATACATGAAACCGGCTCAGGGAAGCAGATGCAAGTGAGAAATGATGAGATGGATGAGGGTGGGGGTGGCAGAATTGGGGGTTGCAAACTCAGTTTAGAAGGGAGGCTAGTGCAAATTTGGTGACAGGATGTGGGAGGTGAGAGAGAATGAAGAACAATGTCCAGGTTTCTTGCTTGTGGTATCCCTGAGTTGGGGGGCACAGGGAGAAGTTCTTTTTAGGGAAAGAAGCATTGTACTAAGAATTCATATTGTCCTCACTATAACCCTAGGATGTAGGGGCAGTTTTCCTCATTTTACACATGAGGAAACTGAGGCACAAAGCTTTCAAGGGACTTACCTAAGAAACTCAATCAGGAAGTGGTTGGCCCTGGAGCTAAAACTGGGTTGCACTCTACATACCTTGCCATGACATCATTCTGCCCATAGGCTATACCACCAGCTCTAGCAATGCTAAGCTCAGGTATGCACTTGTGATCTACATGCCCATGGAACGTCCCCTTCCCTTTATGCCATCATTTCATCATTGGGTTTTGCAATAGGTTCCAAGTGGATTCTCCGTTTCCTTTCTTGTTCCTCTCCAAACCATTCTTCACACAATAGCCAGAAAGGACATTTTAAAACACAGTTCTAATAATGTCATTTCTTCCTAAAACCCTTCAATAGCCTTCCACTACTCTCAGAATAAAGACTGAACTACTTGCCTGGCTTACAAGTTATGATTCAGGCCCCTGCTTGCTTTTTCAGTCTCATCTCTTACCAGGCTCCTTGTTCTCAACTTTTACCTTCCTCTTTTATGCTCCAGCATGTACATGCCACTTCTTGAATGCTCTGAGAAGTTTCTCTCCCCTCACACCCAATTCGTTACCTCTGTCAAGTGTCACCAAGTTGGTTCCAACTCATAGTTACCCTGTATAGGGTTTCCAAGGAGTATCTGGTGTGTTTGAACTGCTGACCTTGTGATTTACAGTCCAGTGCGGATCCTATAGCACCACATCAGGAGTCCTAGTTACCTTTAGTCAGACTATTATATAGATAGATAGATAGATAGATAGATAGATAGATAGATAGATAGATAGATAGATAGATAGATTCAAGCGCAGTCTAGTCAGTTTCCTTTTCAAAGTTCCTTTAACTTCAGGTTTAGTTTTTTAACATTTAGTATGGACTCCTGGTGTGGTGCTGTAGGATAAGCACTGGACTGTGAACCACAAAGTCAATGGTTCAAACCCAGAAGCCACTCCTTGGAAACCCTATACAGAGTTGTTATGATAGCACGTAATAATGTGTTAATTGAGGGAGCACTCGTGGTGCTGTAGGATTAGCACTGGAATGCTGACCACAAGGTCAGCAGTTCAAGCCCACCAGCTGTTCTTTTGGGTGAACAATGAAGCTTTCTGCTCCTATAAAGATTTACAGTCATGGAATTCCTATTCAGGGTTTCTAAGAGTCGTTGATTAAAGTTCGTCTCCCTAATTTGACTGTGAAAACCCTAAAGACAGATCCTTTGCCTATTTCGTTCACCACTGCATTCACAGTACCTGCTAAAATGCCTGTTGCTGTTGCTAAGTGCCGTCGAGTCGGGATCCGACTCATGACGACCGTGTACAGACTGTAGAGGATCTCCGAGGAGCAGCTGGTGAGTTGGAACTGCTAGCCTTTACCGCCCAAACCTAATGCGGTTTACCGCATTAACGGGCCCCGCCACAGCTAAAACGCTTAGCACCTGGAAAAGGTGCAATAAATCTTTTGAATAAATGAAATCCAAATTGACATCCAAAGGAGTGGTTGGGTAGCAAGTTGAGTGCTCAGGAGAAAGATTTCTGGATTGAAAATTAAAATTTGGAGATAATTTATTGACGTCAGAGTACGTGGGATTACCCAAGCAATGTGTTGTTGTCTGGAGAGATTTGTAACTAATGAAAGGTAAACTAAGCAAGGTAATGTAGGTTTCTCCTCTACGTAATTATAGATTGTGCAAGTCGCTTTCCACTCTGGGTTTTAGATCCCTGTCAGTAAAAGGAAGAAGGTAACCCACTTAAAGCCTCACCAGACTGGTTCCCTGCCTTTCACCACTACTCCCGTCCTCTTAATTCCACCGCCCCGCCTCCGTCCAATAGTTGAGAAGAATAATTTATCAGACACCGCCTCTTCCGGGTGATGACCGGAAGTGGGGAGATGCGCCGGAAGTTAAGGGGTGTTTCCTGCCAGTTTGGCTTCTCCAAGATGGCAGCGCCCTTGTCAGTGGAGGTGGAGTTCGGGTGAGTCACAGAACTGGGGCGCCGTGGGGATGTACTGAAGTCGTCGGGACTGGAACTCCCATCCCTCTTCCTTGAAGCTTGTCACGACCGAACCGCCGAGGCTCTGGCTTCTGCTCTGAGCTACGCCACTGGCCTTGGAGAGTCTGATGGGCTCGGCCTCCCTGGCTACGAGGCCGTAAATTCAGGAATAGAGGCGCACTAAGGTGCGTTGTGGATACTCCTTGATGCCCTGCCATTCTCAAAAAGACTTGATAGTTCGCATGCAGTCTCTCTGCCTTCCTTAAGAATACAAGTAGTCTAGAATCAGACCATAGAACCGAACAAGGCCACCCTTCAAGCCTTGCTTTCTTTTTTCTGGGAGCAATTTTCGCTTACCCGGAATTTGGGACCCCACTAGTAATGGGATGTGTGGCTTCCTTTTCCGAGACTTAGAAATGTTAACCAGACCTGGGCCCTTTGTAGGACATTCAATAAATTTTTGCTGAGTACCTTCTGCATCTCTTTCGTCGCTTGGGGCGGTACGGAGATAAGATAGCAGTGAGGGAAACTAACACAGACAGTGCGGTATGCATAAAATAAAATAGTCGAAGAAACACTACAGGGAGTTAAGTCAGCTCGTGGCATTGTTTTCAAGAGTTATCTAAGCCAACTCACATTTTATTTTTGTCGGCTGGTAAAAACCTCTGAGCTCAGAAAGAAGGCAAAGAAACTTAGGCCTTAAATGATGAGTGGTGTGATTTAGTTTCCATGGACAGGCTGTGACTAGAGTGTGTGTATAAGTAGGTGGAAGATAATACAAGCCAAGTGTATGTGAAAGAAAAAGTCAGAGATTGGAATCTAAAAACCACTACCCATAAATGCCTTTCCTTCAGTTGGATGCCAAGGGATGTTTGTTTCGTGTTTTCTCTTCATTGGGGAGTTCATTACTTATTGAGTGCCTAATATGTGCCAGGCAGGGAGCCAGACACTGAGTATACAAAGATAAATAGAACTCTGTCCATTCTCTTCAGTATCCAACATTTCTGTCCCTTACAAGGGAATAGGTTCATGAATGCTAAGTGCATTTATCTGGCCTCTTGGATCTAATTAGAACTATAGTGGTCTGGTCTCCTGACTGTTTTGCTTCACTGATCTTTGCCCCACCTATGCTCCCCAATGGGAGGTTTTAGGAGGTTCCTTGCTGCCTTCACAGGCCTCAGCAGAGCTGGGAAGGAAAAGCTGCAGACTGCCCATTAAGGTTTATCTATAGCCTACTCGTCTTTCATTCTCACTCAGTCAGAGCTGCTATTCATTCATCAGAAATATCTTCTATGTGTCGGACACTATACTGGCAGCTGTGGAGAAGTCATATGAGGAAGATAATGATCCTTTCCCTCCAGAACTTACAGATGAATATAATTGACTCTTTTCTGGCCAGTCTATCTCTACCCTCAAGTCTCCTTTGCCTCAAAAGCAATAATGAGCTCCAGCAAGACAGGACATTTCTCTACCCATTCCTTACTACCACCACCAGTGCCCCCTGAGAATTGCAGCTTCTTAGGTGTGTGCCACCTTCCGGCTTCTGTTTGTCCTTGTCTCTGTACATGTTTTGGGCCTTGGCTTTTATTTCATTTTCTGTTTGTGTTAGCACATTCTTTACTCTTTACTCTGAACCTGAGCAAATTTGCAAAGAAGACACCATGCCCATTATTCTCTCCCTTTTGTCCTTGAGTAGGCCCCTTGAGCCTCAAAGAGTCTGGATTAGAACTGTGCCTCTTCTCCCTGCACAGATGTCATCCTCTCAGTCCCAGAAGCTTTGGTGATCTCTCTACAAGGTCGCTCACACCTTCCTTCTTGTTAATGACCAGCTCTGCCATCGCCTTGTCTTGTCTCTTGGGCTGTCCTCAAAGCAAAGCATTTTCTCAGGCTTTGAATAAATGTTACAGATGTATTTTGTGTCCCTGAGTCCCAGGCTTTGTTTAAAGGCTCAGATGTAAAGTTCCCACCTTCCCTTTTTCCCTTTTTTCCTGAGTCTGGGAGGTATTAGTAGAGGGAGGGAATACTATTGCCGTCATAGAAGACTGAGAGAAATGGATACTTTTATTTATTCAACAGATAATTGTTGCGTATCTGCTATGTGCTAGACACTATTCTAGGCAGACCATGTATTTAAACAGGGGAAGAGAAATATAAATATGGAAGAAAAAGTGAAGATAAATTAGAAAAAGTAAAGGCAGTTTTGGAACTGTCTATATTTGTGACTCTGGGTTAATGCATTGGGCTGCAAAGTCAGTTTGAACTGCAAGGTAGGTGGTTCAAGCTCAACCAGCTGCTCTTAGGAAACCCTATGCAGGGTCGCTATGGGTCGGAACCAACTCAATGACACTTAACAACAACAGCATATTTGTCGTTGCTCCCAGCAAACACTTACCAAGAATTGGGGTGGAGAGAAGGTGAGGTATCTTAAGATGTAATTCCCTAGTTGAGTTTGAATAGCAAATCCTGTAAAACATGACAGGGTCTGTCCTTGGATCTCTTGGCCTAGAATAGACCCTATGCCTACCTCCCTGAATCACTTCAGAGGCTGGGCATTTACCTTCCTCCTTCTATGTATACTGAAAGCAGAAATGCTAGTTCCTTCCTTGTGGGCCAGTGAACCCAGTGGTGACAGGTCACTTACTGAGCCAGACTGGTTCTCCTTTCCTCTGCTGTAAGGGGAAGAACAGACTTGGCTTCCGAGCCTGGCACCACCAGGTTTGGCCACTCTTGGTTGTTTGCCTGGGTCCCAGTGCCTCTAGTTCACACCCCTCTTTTCTGACCCCCCACTCTTGAGCCCCTTGACTGTCACCCTCCCCCACCCCAGCTGCTTCGTGTGCCAACCCCCACCCAGTAGAAAAGGAGGCTCTTGGAAGGGGATAAATGGAGGCTCTGTGCAGGCTTGCAGCTGAAATGGCCCAGCGCGCGGCCACAGATGGGCCTTCTTTCCCCCTCCACATTTCTGCATCAACAAAGCATGACCTTGTTTGAATGACAGTCGCCCCATGTTTCCCCCATGACAATGCTTGCCTTCCCTTTACCTCTCTTAGGGTATCTCTGTTCCTTGGAATTCAAAAGGGTGATGGGATGGAAGGCCTCGGTTAGGACCCACATGAAGTTGAGGTGGGAGTTAGGAGACTCAGAGGAAGAAGTCATGTAGGGCACTGAAAGAGCCTTGGTCTCATCAGATGTTCTGACTTCTGGACTTGGCTCAAGCATCTCCACTGTCACAGCCTTCCCTTGACTGGTGCTGGGACACAGACATGTACCAAACTCTGCGCTCAAGGACTTTACTGACTTTGGGGAGTCTCAGTTTTTTGTTACTGTTTTTCTGCCAAGGCTGCTGGGACTGAGCAGGAGGATTCAAACCCTACTCAGCCACTGCCTATCTGACCTTAGACAAATCACAGCCTCTCAGAGTCTCAGCCTACATTTCTATCAGATGGCGTTCATAATGTCCACCTCCCACCCTCCCTCCCTGGGGTGCCTTGAGGATGGAATGAGTTGAGGAACATCTTATAACCTCCAGTGTACAGTATTTCTCCATGGCTTCTCAATGTTTCTTGCTGATGAAGATAGTTGAGTCACATGCCCCAAGTCGTACTAGTCAAACAGCAGAGATGTCTTCCATCTCGGGACTGATGGACTCTTTAACAGCCTGTTCTCTGAGAAGTGAAATGAGAGTCTGCAAATGTGGGTGCTTGATTATTAGTAAAAAAACATACTAATAATCCTACTTTCTTTACCACATCAGGATTTCACATCTGAGAATCAGTTACTTGTACCCTACATGCTGGTAGCGTAATGGTTACGAATCGGGCTGCGAACCTTAAGGTCAGCAGTTCGAAACTACCAGCTGTTCTGCCTGAGAAAGATGAGGCTTTCTGCTTCCGTAAAGATTTACAGCTTCAGAAACCCTGTACAGGGTCGCTGTGAGTCGGAATCGACTCCACGGCACATAAACATCACCACCACCACCAAATGCTGGTAACCAAAGTGTTCCTGAACCTTGGTCACCAAGAATCTTTTGGACTTCTAGTTCCAACTCTAACTTCATTGTTCAGTTTCAGCTACCTCCTCCTGTTTGCAGCAGCTTACGTGGCTGTCTTTTTCTTTGACCCTCTTTTCCAGAGGCGGCGCAGAGCTCCTGTTTGATGGTGTAAAGAAGCATCAGGTCACCTTGCCTGGGCAGGAGGAGCCCTGTGAGTATTGGCCTCCTGAGCTCCTCTGGGGGGTATTGAACAGGAGTCAGCCTTCCGGGATCACTTAACTCTGTTGAGTTGGGAAGGGATAGGAGTTTCCTGACCAGGCCAAGGAGGGAGGAAGACAAACAGACTATTACCACGTACTCCCTCCCATCTTCTCTAGAGTCAGCTCACTTTGCACTACACTCACAGTGTAGCCTAGTGCTTGCAAATGTGGGCTGTGTATTAGACTTGAGTTCGAATCTTGTTAGAACTTTAGGCAAGTGACTCACGTCTCTGAACCTTAGTGTTCTCATCTGGCAAGTAGGGATGGTAAAGCCTCTCTCTTGGAGTTGTTAAAAGGAGCAAATCAATAATAGTATGACTAACTACTAACCCACTGCTGTCAAATCAATTCATAACAACTCATAGCAACCCTGGAGGAGAGAGAAGAATTGCTCCCTAGGGTTTCTAAGACTAAATCTTTATGGGAGCATATAGCCTCATATTTCTCCCATGGAGCAGCTGGTGAACATGAGACCTTGCAGTTAGCAGCCCAGTGCTTAATCCACAGCACCACCAGGGCTCCTTAAGTAGTAATGTATGTCTCTATTATAATTACTGTATTACATGGCAGCAGAGAGATGTTCTTATGAAACTGGTACGCTTTATGGAGAATGGAACAATGTGGATGAGGTTACATTATGACAAGAGGGTTTAGAGTAGAAGAGAAATAGTCAGCCATAAAGACTACCAGTTAAGAATGACTGGTTAATGTGTCAAAATGTTACAATGACTAAATTTAGATGAAGAGTACATGGGTGTTCCTTGACTATTAGTTCAGCTTTTTCATAATTCAAAATAAAAAGTTGGAGAGTGATTGACTGTGGAAGATAATGGATTTTTTTTTCTTGTTCAATCAAATGCTTTTTAATTTTTTCATTAACAAACATATACTGTGTGACAGACCATGTACCTGACATTGGGGATTAAGACATTTGCAAAAGCCAGCCGCTGTCTACAAATTTGAATTTTTGTGAAGAGTTAACTTGTAGATGTCCTGCTGGGAAAATGTTAGTGTAACCTAGAGGCAAGGGCTTTTGTATTTCTAGTAGTGGGTGCCAACAAGAGCAGAATGTTCAGGGATAGAGTCTAATTATGGCTTTGATTGTTACATGCCTCCAAGTTACTTCTAACTCGTAGCAACCCTATGTAGATAGGATTCTAAGGAGCGATTGGTGGGTTTGAATCACCAACCTTGCCATTAGTAGTCCAGTGCTGATCCTACAGTGCCACACCAGGACTCCTTCTAGGGAAAAGAGGCAATCTGTCATATGAGGAAGCAGGGGAATGAGGTTCCTGGAGGCGATCTATAGAAAATGATCAAATAAAGCGTGGCAGGATTCTTCTGAAACTGGACATATTCTTGCTAATTTGGGCTAACAGTTATTGCCTAAATTAATTGAGTGCCAGTGGGTGTCTGAAACCTTCCCACAAGGCCAGGAAGCAGTGGCATATGGTATGTGTGTATATCACACTCAGAACCTTGAGGACACTTATTGAAGAACAGGATTCTGCCACACTGAGCTGGAGGTTGAATTGTGGCCTTCCCCCACTGTGTTTCTGGTGGGGGAAAGCCTGAGTTGATAAAGGTGACTGTACCTGTTTGTTAAATGACCACACAGCCGTAGCTGCCTTGGGAGGAAACAGGGATCTCAGAAGTCTTCTAAATATTCAAGCTTAAAGACCTCATCGAGAAGTTTCTCACTATCATTAGTACTAATTTATTTTCTCCTAAGCCCTGGTATGGCGCTGTGGGTTAATGCACTGGACTGCAAAGTCATTTAAACTACAAGGTTGGTGGTTCAAGCTCAACAGCTGCTCCTAGGAAACCCTATACAGGATTACTAAGGGTCAGAACTGACTTGACAGCACTTAACAGCAACAAAGTTTGCTTAGCATGAAAGTTCACAGTTTTTCATAATCCAGTCTCATTTCATTCATTGACTGAGTGCTCATCCAGTGCCAGGTATGATAAGAACTTTAGTCTTTCATATAGTTGGCAAATACGCAGGTGAGTCAAAAGTTATCTGCACTCTGGCTGTATTAAAACATCCATCCACATCCACGACTGATGGCAACATTGAATGTGCACGTGAAATGGTTCTGTCAAATAGACAAGTGACAGTAGATTATGTGGCAAATTATTTGCAAATCAACCATACTTGGGTTTCGAAAAGTTTGTGCAAGATGGGTACCGAAACAACTCACCGAAGAGCATAAACAGAAACGTTGGATGATCTGCAAACAAAATTTGGACCGATACTCAAAGGAAGCTAACAGTTAATTCTTTAAAAAAAATTGTTGCTGGTGATGAGACATGGATTCATCACTACGAACCTGAGAGTAAATAGCAGAGTATGGAACGGAAACATCCTCAATAGCCAACCAAGAAAAAGTTCAAAAGTCAGCCATCAGCTGGAAAATTGATGTTTATAGTGCTTTGGGATTCTCAAGGGCCAGTATCAGGAAAAAGGTTCAACAATCAACAGAGCTTCTTAGTGAGATGCTCACTGAAGAACTGAAGCCTAAACTTCACATTAAGTACAGAGGACTGCTATACAAGGGTGTTGTGATCTTGCTTGACAATGCACATCCACACACCTCTGCCCACACTGTTGGACACTCTGCAAAAACATCATTTTGAGGTGTTCAAGCATTCTTCTTATAGTCTTGATTTTGTTCCATTGGACTTTCACCTGTTGGATCCCCTGAAAGCAGCCCTTTGAGGATGAAAATTCACTTCTGATGAAGTGAAGATAATGGTGCATTCGTGGCTCGCAGCTCAGCCTAAAAATGTTTATAAACATTTTTTAGTAAGGGAATACAAAAGCTTGTTGAGAGATGGACAAAGTATATTGAAAAGCAAGATTATGTTGAAAATTATGGCTTTGTCTTTTCTAAAAGTTGATTAAAATAAATGCTACATCCAGAATGTGGATAATTTTTGACTCGCCCTCGTATTTTCTGAACGCTTCCTTGTGTTGGGCACTATTATCAGTTATTGGGTATTCAGTGTTGGGCAAAACATATGATTCTTCTCATAAAGCTTAAGTGTAATGGGGGTGGAGTCAGGCAATAAACACATAAACATGTTTAATCGTATCATTTACACATTGTAGTAATTGCTGTGAAGAGAATAAAAGAGTGTTCTCAGTGTGACTCACAGGTGGTCAGGGAAGGGCTCTCTAATGAGATGACATTGAAGCTAAGGTCTGAAGGATGGAAAGTAGCCAGCCAAAGATTTGTGGCGGAAGAGCAGAGGTGATGGAGGCCTTTTCCAAACAAAGGGATGGCATTTGTGAGACTCCAAGGGGCAAAAACACTTTGGGATAGTCAGAACAGAAGGAAGGCTAGTATTATAGAAGTAGAGGCTGTGTTTGCAGAGGTAGGCAGAACCCCAAATGATTGTGTGAATAATTGTCCCAGCTGGAGAGGTAGCTGCCATTATTCCTGTCTGAAAAAGTGGAAACTAAAGCTTAGAGGTGTCAAGGGTCTTAATCCGAAGTCGTAGTCATTTATGAATCAAAACTATAGACTCAAACCCAGATTTCAGGCTCTCTAAAACCAGCTGTTCTGCTGGAGAAAGATGAGGCTTTCTGTTCCCGTAAAGATTTACAGCACTTAACAACAACAACAAAGTCCTGGTGTGGCACTGTAGGGTAAGCACTGGATTGCAAGGTTGGGTTGAACCACAAGGTTGGCAGTTCAAACTCACCAGCCACTCCTCGGAAACCCTATACGGGGTCATTATGAGTCAGAACCTACTGGAGGGCACCTATCAACAAAATCCTTGTACTCTGCCTCTAACCTGTCACCCCATTTGTCCCCATAGCATATCATATCTGTAAAGTTATTTTACAGTTTTTAAACTTTTATTCATTCATTTACTCATGCCTTATTTTCTGTGAGGGCTCCAGTAGATATTAGCAAGGAAAGCAGACCTCAGAGAGAGTGACCTGTGTCCAGAGTTAGGAAGGGATGGAGGCTGGTCTAGGACCTAGGGTTTGGGCTTCTTATCCATCAGTCACCAATTAGAGTGCAGGTGGGGATAGATCCTTCCCCTTCTGGGGAAGGGATGCTATGGGGGAAGGGATGCAAAAATGGGCCCTTTCCTCAGTCTTTGAATTCTTGGCTGTGAGTCTTGACTCCTGGTTCTCATTTTGTGCCCTGCTGTGTCCAGAGACATAGGTCACATTGCAGCCACAGAATTAGATGGCAGCTGCCAGGCCCTACCCTGGCACATGGGCTCAACTAGAGGGCAGTAGTTGTTCTTCCCCTCTGCTCATGCCCAAAGCTGTTGTTTGGCAGCCTTCCCAACCCATGGGCTGCCACTTGGGCAAGCAGTCTTGGAGACTCCAGCAGAAAAAATAGCCATAAGATTATGGATTGTGACAAGTCTCACAAACAAGAGGACTCCTGGGCCAGGAGAGAGCTTTCAGCCCAGCTAAATTGGAAGACAAGAATGTGAGAACAAGGAGGCCAAAGTGAATTAACTGCCTGATAGTATGCAGTTACAAGTCAGTTATTTCTGGGGGTCTCATCTCCACCCTCCTCCAATCTATAAAACCGAGACAGAGGTTGAACTAATTTGTTCATTGAGCTAGATATCTAGTTGATGTCTACATTTTCAAAAAGAATTGTTTCCTGCCCATTAAAAAAACAACAACAACAAAAAAAACAGTTCCCATTGAGTAGATTTCAACTCATATTTTCAGAGTAGAACTGTGTGCTCCATAAGATTTTCAGTGACAGGTTTTTCAGAAGTAGATCCTCAGGCATTTCTTCCAAGGCACCTCTGCATGGACTTGAACTACCAACCTTTCAACTCCCTTTCACCTCTAAGTGCATTCAATTGTATGAAGCAGGGCACATTGCTACAGTCAGTAGTTATTTATATGTGGAGTGGGTATGTCTTGGACAACCAACCCGATGGAACAGACCATCTCCCTGATTGA